TTWAARRAAAAAACAATGAATTCATGAAACACTTAACCGTACTTTCTAGACGACAATAAMATGCACCAAAACAATAATTTCTTGGCACGTTATGCTATCCAAACAATTTATTCTAATTTGTTTCCTCTATATATAACATATTCTTTTTTAATTAGATTTTGATGCAACGAATTAAACTTCGTGGAATTCTGTGAATACTTTTATGTCTGGTTACAGCTTGATCTTCTCGGAAAAAAAAATATATTGTCAATAACTTTGCCGCCATTGACTAAATKTTGCTTCCATCCGTCGCTTYAGCTCCAAAAGATCGGTTTTGTAACGATCTTCTGTGAATCAAATATGTTAACGAAAAGTTAACAGAGAAAATACTAATATTTATTAATTTGAATTTGTATATCAGATAGCTCGTTAAGCTGCAAAACTAAAATTATGTRAAATAAATGAAAACAGATCACGATAAAACCCATACAGATCATCACGATGGAAAACAGCCCCAGCTTGATATCTTCATTTAATTCCCTGAAAATTTCCGAATAACGGCATAAGACGATAAAAACAGATCCATAAAATCTCACCTGCTATAAGATTTATAARTGAAAGAGTCAAGATATACAGAGCCATCGTCTTCTGCTAACGATATCCGGTGCTGTCAAACATGCTGAAAGAACCGTCGTCTGTTCAATATTCTGAAATGTTATCACCTGCGCACTGAATGTTATCGATAAAAATGTATGTCATGAAATGCAAATCTTAATGAATAATAGATAGATAATTTTATCTAAAAAATTATACCTTAGAGTCTTCCCTGCTCTTGTATTTCACTAGAGTGGAATCAAGGTTAAGAGGAACTTTATACTAAGCGCAGTAGCAATGCAATTTACTTGTTAAAAAACGTAAACGTTAATATATGAAAACGAAATTACTTGAAAAAWATCTTCAATTATTGTGTCGCTTTATGATGCCCTTTAGATTTCAATTTCTTGGCTCAACTATCCATTGGTYACCATGGTTGAACAAAGGCGCCAACTGAAGTCACAATTATTCGCTACTCCCACCTGCAGCTTTTGTTGTTATTAGGCATAACTGTTTTTAAACTTAATAACTCTTTTGAAATTTAATTCCAATCTCTCGGTCTTGGCGACACTACTTGTCTTATATTACACAAGTTGATTTAA